CAGAGAGAGAGAGCAGCGAGAGAGAGAGCAGCGAGAGAGAGCAGCGAGAGAGAGCAGCGAGAGAGAGCAGCGAGAGAGAGAGCAGCGAGAGAGAGAGCAGCGAGCGAGAGCAGCGAGCGAGAGCAGCGAGCGAGAGCAGCGAGCGAGAGCAGCGAGCGAGAGAGCAGCGAGCGAGAGAGCAGCGAGCGAGCGAGAGAGCAGCGAGCGAGAGAGCAGCGAGAGAGAGCAGCGAGAGAGCAGAGAGAGAGAGCAGCGAGCGAGAGCAGCGAGAGAGAGCAGCGAGAGAGAGAGCAGCGAGAGAGAGCAGCGAGAGAGAGCAGCGAGCAAGAGCAGCGAGAGAGAGCAGCGAGAGAGAGAGAGAGCAGCGAGAGAGAGAAGCGAGAGAGAGCAGCGAGAGAGAGCAGCGAGAGAGAGACCAGCGAGAGAGAGAAGCGAGAGAGAGAAGCGAGAGAGAGAAGCGAGAGAGAGAGCAGCGAGAGAGAGACCAGCGAGAGAGAGCAGCGAGAGAGAGAGCAGCGAGAGAGAGCAGCCTTCTCCAGGTTCCGCTGGAGTATATCCTACTTTATGTAAAAAGCTGTTTCCTTTCTTTGTAATCTCTGAAGAATAAATATGATTCAGCAAAGTGCACCTGGAAATAACCCGCTGTAAAGATAACGGGAACACAAACTCACATTGTTTCATCGATAAATACTGTGTATAGATATTTATGAACTGTAGAAAAAAAAAATTATTGTCCACTCACCTTTGGCCCTCCGCGGGCGGTTATCCCTCTCTAAGCTCGGGTCCTCTACCAGAGGCCTGGGAGCTTGAGGGTTCTGCGCAGTATCTTTGCTGTTCCTAGCACTGCACATTTCTGGACCCAGATGTCCGAGGTTGTTCCAGGGATCCACTGTAACCTCTTCTAGCTTCAGGGTCACTGCCCCGAGTGCACCATCACCACGGGCACTACTGTGACCTTTACCCTCCAGGCCCTCTCACTACTGTGACCTTTACCCTCCAGGCCCTCTCACTACTGTCACCTTTACCCTCCAGGCCCTCTCACTACTGTGACCTTTACCCTCCAGGCCCTCTCACTACTGTGACCTTTACCCTCCAGGCCCTCTCACTACTGTGACCTTTACCCTCCAGGCCCTCTCACTACTGTGACCTTTACCCTCCAGGCCCTCTCCAGCTCCTCTCTGAGACCTTGGTATTTCTCAAGCTTTTCATGTTCTTTTTTCCAGATGCTACCATCGCTTGGAATTGCCACGTCCACCACCACGGCTGTCCTCTGCCCTTTGTCCACCACCACGGCTGTCCTCTGCCCTTTGTCCACCACCACGGCTGTCCTCTGTCCTTTGTCCACCACCACGGCTGTCCTCTGCCCTTTGTCCACCACCACGGCTGTCCTCTGCCCTTTGGCCACCACCACGGCTGTCCTCTGCCCTTTGTCCACCACCACGGCTGTCCTCTGCCCTTTGTCCACCACCACGGCTGTCCTCTGCCCTTTGGCCACCACCACGGCTGTCCTCTATCCTCTGCCCTTTGTCCACCACCACGGCTGTCCTCTGCCCTTTGGCCACCACCACGGCTGTCCTCTGTCCTCTGCCCTTTGTCCACCACCACGGCTGTCCTCTGCCCTTTGTCCACCACCACGGCTGTCCTCTGCCCTTTGGCCACCACCACGGCTGTCCTCTGTCCTCTGCCCTTTGTCCACCACCACGGCTGTCCTCTGCCCTTTGTCCACCACCACGGCTGTCCTCTGCCCTTTGTCCACCACCACGGCTGTCCTCTGCCCTTTGTCCACCACCACGGCTGTCCTCTGCCCTTTGTCCACCACCACGATGTCAGGTTGGTTCAATACCATTCGGTCGGTCTGTATCTGGAAGTCCCACAGGATCTTTGCACGCTCATTCTCCACCACCTTTGGAGGAGTTTCTTAGACCTTGGGGTTTCCAGCCCATACTCTGCACAGATGTTTCTGTACACTATGCAGCCACTTGGTTATGGCGTTCCATGTAGGCCTTCCCTGCAGCATCTTGCACCGTGCAGTTATGTGTTGGATCGTCTCAGGTGCCTCTTTGCACAACCGACACCTTGGGTCTTGTCTGGTGTGGTATATCTGGGCCTCTATCGCTCTGGTGCTCAGGGCCTGCTCCTGTGCAGCCATGATGAGTGCCTCTGTGCTGTCCTGTAGGCCAGCCCTTTCTAGCCATTATGAGCTCTCCTCCAGCACCTCCTCATCTCGCCACTGCCTGAGACATTCACTGAGTACGTCATCCGTTTTGGCCTTCTCCATGATGTAGTTATGGAGTTTGGATGTTTGGTCCTGGACAGTGGCTCTCACACTCACTAGTCCTCGGCCTCCTTCTTTACGGCTTACGTACAGTCTCAGGGTCTGGATTTGGGATGGAACCCGCCATGCATGGTAAGGAGCTTTCGAGTTTTAACATCCGTGGTCTGAATCTCTTCCTTTGGCCCCTGATTATTCCTGCAGGGTATCTGATCACTGGCAGAGCGTAGCTGTTAATTGCCCGGGCCTTGTTCTTGCCATTGAGCTGGCTTCTTAGGACCTGCCTTACTCGCTGGAGGTATTTGGCAGTGGCCGCTTTCCTCGTCACCTGTTCGAGGTTGCCATTTGCCTGTGGTATACCGAGATACTTGTAACTGTCCTCAACGTCTGCTATTGTTCCCTCTGGGAGTGAGATCCCTTCTGTGTGGACTACCTTGCCTCACCAGTCACCATCCTGCTACATTTCTCGAGTCCGAATGACATCCCGATATATATATATACATATACATATATATATATACATATACATATATATATATACATATACATATATATATATATATATATATGATGTATACATATACATATATATATATACATATACATATATATATACACACATATAAAAATTGTCCACTCACCTTTGGCCCTCCGTGGGCGGTTATCCCTCTCTAAGCTCGGGTCCTCTACCAGAGGCCTGGGAGCTTGAGGGTTCTGCGCAGTATCTTTGCTGTCTTATATTGGCTTTTTATTCAGAGCAACTACTACAGAATCCAGATCAATACATTATTCTATGAAAGTTCTCTCCCTGTGGGATGCAGCAGCGTTCCAAGGATTGAAACGTAGATGTAAAAAGAAAGAATTACTTTTTAAAAGAAATTTACACAAATTTGCCTGCTATAAAAATAAATATTTCCAAATATGAAAGAAAAGACTCAATCTCACTTTGCAAAAACAGATTTTTTCCTCTTGTCTACCCACGGAGAAAACACATGGTCTGGACTTTGTTTTGACTCACTCTCGTCTTCACCCTGCTGCGCGGCTGACACGAATCCAAACAACATGCCAACCTTTTCATCATTGATCCAGGTCGTTACAGCGTTTGAACCTCAGACCTCACAATGAAAACACATAACATGCTTAGATCAAGGCTCCTTTTGGAAAACTGTAAACAAAAAATGTGTAAAAAATTGCTCAAATTTGGTAAAATGTGAATTAATTTAAGCACATTGTGACGCCTTAAAAAAGATTTGCCGATGGGACAAACAAATATGTATTGTTTTCTCCCTAGGAATGAGAATATAATGCAGCTCTTGATAAAGACTAAATGGCTTTGTCAGAATGTATTTAAATCAAGAAAAAAACATATTTGAGCCACTTTTGCAGAGTTTATCCTTTTTTCAGGGGTGCGACAGTAGCTCAGTTGGTAGAGCATTGGCCTTTGGGCCTGGAGGTTGTGAGTTCGATTCCCACCATGGGACCTACTCCAACTGCTCGCACTGATGACTGCTGTCGTTGTGTCCTTGGGCAAGACACTTAACCCCATATTGCCTGAAGCTTGAAAGATCAAGGCTGTTTCACAATTGACAGAGCAGCCATCTTCCTGTGGACTCACCCCCTGCAGAGGATCAGAGGGACTGGTGCTATGAGCGTTGGGGGGCAGCTCTCATTGCCACCCCCCTGACCCAGAAATGGACAAAGGGGTTGAAAATGAAATGAAATGAAATCCTTTTCTCACATCATCGTTGTTCTTCGACATTTACACAAAGAGCAAGAAGCCACTCAGGAATGTTGAAGTGAAGAATAATCTCTCACACTTCTCTGTGGACCGTTTTCACACGTCCTCGTTTCAAACCGGACGTGGAACGAAGTCCTTTCCGGTGGCTGTGCTTCGCCGTCACACACACAGCTTTGAGTTTGGCTCAATCTCGCAGCAGTTGTTTCTGTTCTCGTCCTGGTTGGGCTGAAATAGCGAGAAAACATACCTTTCTTTCCACGCTTTCCCGACGGACCTGGACCAAAGGAGGCCGTGGATCCAAGCCCTCAGCGGAGACCAGGGTCCCCAGTTCTCCATAAAGCCAGGGAGCACTTTGTATGCAGCCTTACAACAGCCTTAAGGCCCTAACTAGAAAAATAAGGCAGTTTATTATACTGTATGACTTGGATCGTACGCGCGCTCTGATTGGTTGATTTGCGGTCTGATATTTTCCCATCTCGGACCGTTACCATGACAATTGGTCCGCAGCGCGTATCACATTTGATATCTTTCCTCGGAACAAAAAGAATGAGCGACGACTTCGAAGAGCCAGAGGAAGTAATAACTGCAAATAACGACGAAAACACAACTCCTGACAGTCAAGAAGTGATTGACAACTTCGTTACAGACCAGAAAGGTAAAAACAGGATTAGGAAAACCAAGTCGGAGATTGATATTTGCATAAATTAAAAATAGTCATATAATAAAACATTGATTAACCTCGCTTGCTCGGTCTGTACAAAAAGGCCGCGGTCTGATATTTCTCTGTCCAGACCTCGCGCTCGGTTAATAAGCCGTTAATCAGACTCAGTACTTGTACACCATATGATTTCATAATGATCTATAACATGTGTTCTGTGGTATATTTAGTCTTTTTGTCCTGTCTTTGTAAAACACTGCAGGCTGAAACTCTTGAACGATTTCCTGGTTCCGTCCACGCAGCACCTGTCTTCCCTCAAGGACAGCCGTTGTTTATTCTTTAAATATGCAGAGAGGCCTAAGAAGTGTCTGTGGAGGCTGCTGCCAGAGCTGGAGGTGAACCAGAGACCGGTGCTGGCTCAGACCGGGGCCTGGATGATGGATGGAGCGAGGGGGGCCGAGTGAGCCGCCAGGGGGGCCGAGTGAGCCCGCCAGGGGGGCCGAGCGAGCCGCCAGGGGGGCCGAGTGAGCCGCCAGGGGGGCCGAGTGAGCCGCCAGGGGGGCCGAGCGAGCCGCCAGGGGGGCCGAGCGAGCCGCCAGGGGGGCCGAGTGAGCCGCCAGGGGGGCCGAGCGAGCCGCCAGGGGGGCCGAGCGAGCCGCCACTGACGCCACACATGCCACGGAGACCAGGGAGACTGTAGACCAGGGAGACTGTAGACCAGGGAGACTGTAGACCAGGGAGACTGTAGACCAGGGAGACTGTAGACCAGGGAGACTGTAGACCAGGGAGCTGTAGACCAGGGAGACTGTAGACCAGGGAGACTGTAGACCAGGGAGACTGTAGACCAGGGAGACTGTAGACCAGGGAGACTGTAGACCAGGGAGCTGTAGACCAGGGAGACTGTAGACCAGGGAGACTGTAGACCAGGGAGACTGTAGACCAGGGAGACTGTAGACCAGGGAGACTGTAGACCAGGGAGCTGTAGACCAGGGAGACTGTAGACCAGGGAGACTGTAGACCAGGGAGCTGTAGACCAGGGAGACTGTAGACCAGGGAGACTGTAGACCAGGGAGCTGTAGACCAGGGAGCTGTAGACCAGGGAGCTGTAGACCAGGGAGCCATAGACCAGGGAGCTGTAGACCAGGGAGCCATAGACCAGGGAGACTGGACCAGGGAGCTGTAGACCAGGGAGACTGTAGACCAGGGAGACTGTAGACCAGGGAGACTGTAGACCAGGGAGACTGTAGACCAGGGAGACTGTAGACCAGGGAGCTGTAGACCAGGGAGACTGTAGACCAGGGAGACTGTAGACCAGGGAGACTGGACCAGGGAGCCGTAGACCAGGAAGCCGTAGACCAGGGAGACTGTAGACCAGGGAGACATAGACCATTGAGACTGTAGACCAGGGAGCTGTAGACCAGTGAGACTGTAGACCAGGGAGCCATAGACCAGGGAGACTGTAGACCAGGAGACTGTAGACCAGGGAGCTGTAGACCAGGGAGACTGTAGACCAGGGAGACTGTAGACCAGGGAGACTGGACCAGGGAGACTGTAGACCAGGGAGACTGTAGACCAGGGAGACTGTAGACCAGGGAGACTGGACCAGGGAGCTGTAGACCAGGGAGACTGTAGACCAGGGAGACTGTAGACCAGGGAGACTGGACCAGGGAGCCGTAGACCAGGAAGCCGTAGACCAGGGGGACTGTAGACCAGGGAGCTGTAGACCAGGGAGACTGTAGACCAGCGAGACTGTAGACCAGCGAGACTGTAGACCAGCGAGACTGTAGACCAGCGAGACTGTAGACCAGCGAGACTGTAGACCAGGGAGCCGTATAGACCAGGGAGACATAGACCAGCGAGACTGTAGACCAGCGAGACTGTAGACCAGCGAGACTGTAGACCAGCGAGACTGTGCTGCGATTTGACATTTGTCTGGGAAAGGATGCTATCGAGGGATATTCTGCCGTTTACAATCTTATTATGGAGAAGTCACTAAACCAGGTCTGAACCAGGTCTGAACCAGGTCTGAACCAGGTTTGAACCAGGTCTACACTTTGGGGTAGGGCTGTAACAAGTGATTTGATTTATTGGAACCGATGGATTATTGAAATAGTTGTCAACTATTTTCGCAAATGCGATTTATAGTATAAGCCCTGCCTCAGTCCTTACTCTGTTTCTATAGCCTGGAATGTGCTGTGCTATGCTATGCTATGCTATGCTATGCTATGCTATGCTATGCTATTTTTTGCTATGCTATGCTATGTCATTGCTTTATTTTTTTATTTTTTCAGACGGCAATTGAACAAATAAAATTAAGGCAACTTAATTTCTTCACCTACTTTGACTGTGTTTGATCTTTCCCTTCTCTGTTTTTAATATGAAGGTAATAAACTAATGTATTTTTTATTGTATAGAGCGTTCATCTTAACTGGGACCCCAGGAACCTTCTCATCTGCACTGGTGGGAGCTCCAGTAAACAGTAGGTTTCTAAGTGGTTCTTTGCCGACGCAGGAGGGTCTGAGGTCCGTGACCATCTGGGATATTCAGATTTTTATGGCTGTTACTTTACATTTTTGGAGATTGGTCCCGCACCCTCTGGACCAATGTGTTCGTTATTACCGCGTTTCCTGTCTTCAAACTGTTTAATTCTCTGCTGTGTTGAATAATTAATAATTCAATCATTGGGAACGTTGTGAAGTCCTCTGCTGCTTGAACCAAACATAGACTTAGACATGCTGAGGAGAGATAACAGTGTTGATTACTGCAGAAAGAAAGTCATTTGGACTTGATTGGGCCTAACTTAAATGTACTTTAAAAACCCATGTGCACTGACCTTTAGATTCAATCAATGTAACGAATAATCATCTTCTAATCCATAATCAAAGCAATGGTTTTATCACAGCTCAGTCTGCAGACGGACTGAAACAACAACAGTCAAACAAAGTCTACACAACTTTTGACCTTTTTTCTTTTAATCAATCGACAAAAGAAGAAAAATAACATTTGGAGAATCATGTGAGTCACTCTTTGGGCTCAGTGTTATTTGGTTTGTCAAGGAATTATTTCTGAAAAGGCAAGTCCTTACTGGGAATGTCCTTTTCTACAACAGACTTTAACACATTTTAATCCTTATATAAATGCAAATATCTAATATTTTTGCCAATGGCACAGACTGGTTGCCTCGCTTCTGTCAGTGTGCCCCAGGGCAGCTGTGGCTACAGTAGTAGTTTATCACCACCGTGTTTGGAGAGAGAGAATAATGACATGTGAAGTGTCTTTGAGTGTCCAGAAAAGCGCTTTATAAAACCGATGCATTATTATTATTATTATGATTATTACTTTTGCTGTGAGGAGCTGTATAATAAGGTTCTGAATATTGCACATTCATTCTGACATTATCAAAGTTATGATTGCACTGCTGAGTGACGTGACACAGTGCCATATTTCACAGGCGCACTGTTCGTTAGTCCTCACTGTCTGTTGAATATGTGAGTTTGTATGTGCCTTAATCCAGATGAAAGCAAGAATGAACCAGGTCTGAAACAGGTTCAGACACTGTGACCATAACCACCAGAGCCAGGACCTCCTCAGCCTCCAGCCTCCTCCGGTCCACGCTCTTGTCCAGGCAGAATGTGACCATAACCACCAGAGCCAGGACCTCCTCAGCCTCCAGCCTCCTCCGGTCCACGCTCTTGTCCAGGCAGCACTAACCTTCACGGCCCCTCCCATCTCCTCTCATCACATCTCCTTTAGCCATATCTAATGGATGGATGGACGTGAAGCCTCCCTCCCTCTCCTGGAGTCCTGCAGCGGCATCCCTTTGCTTCAGACCTCCTCCCCCCGCCTCCAACCCCCCCCCGCCTCCAACTCCCCCCGCCTCCAACTCCCCCCAAGCATCTCCCACTCCTCTCTTCATTATTCATTACTGCTCCTTTTGGACCGTCGGAGAGGGAGAAGCATAGCGGTGAATTCATATGGGCAGAAGCGGCAGAAGCGGCAGCAGCAGTAGCAGCAGCAGCAGCAGAAGCAGAAGCAGCAGAAGCAGCAGCAGCAGCAGCAGAAGCAGCAGAAGCAGCAGCAGCAGCAGCAGCAGCAGAAGCAGCAGTAGCAGCAGAAGCAGCAGAAGCAGCAGCAGAAGCAGCAGCAGAAGCAGCAGCAGCAGACGCAGCAGCAGCAGCAGACGCAGCAGCAGACGCAGCAGCAGCAGCAGACGCAGCAGCAGAAGCAGCAGAAGCAGCAGCAGCAGCAGCAGAAGCAGAAGCAGCAGTAGCAGCAGCAGCAGCAGCAGCAGAAGCAGCAGTAGCAGCAGCAGAAGCAGCAGAAGCAGCAGAAGCTGCAGTAGCAGCAGCAGCAGCAGACTCGGGCGCTTGTGGAGGGTGATGAGATGCGACTGACGGACAGAGACGAGAACCACATGTGGGTCCAACTATAGGAGTCTTACAAGAACTTGTTATCTCCCAGTTCATACTTTAGTTTGTCGGAAAAACCCAGGTCTCTTTGGTCGCACAGACTCTGAGGCTGTGGTTATCCAACACTGCCTCGTAAAACTATGGCACATACAAAATTAAAGATGGATTCATTTAAATTACACGTACAGTCGGTTTATCTAAAGTTGTTCCTACATTGTGTTTGTCCTTACAGTTCAAGGAGAGTATGAAGAAGATTGCAAAGTCTGGGATTGTGTCTTCAATTCAGACAGAAGACATGTTTTATTGTCGTTGGTAGAGACAACACGAACAAAAGATTTTACAAAATACAGCAGGAGAAACAGAGACCTCCAATCAGCGTTTGCCTCGGTACCAGCAGCTTCAACCTTGAGATAACCAAAACAATGGAAAAGTACTGCCTTGTGCATATTGTTAGAATGATGAGTCTAACTTTAATCACAGTTGCTTCAAAGTATCATGAAATCTCTAAAAGTATAATCCAACCTGAACATGTTTTTATGTAATGCTTTATTGATCCCATCGGAGAAGTTCAGGGTTATAGGTTCTACACTGGAGAAAGATCTGCCAATAGAGCACGCAAATATGACTTAACCGGATTTATGAAAATAAGAAAATAATACCAGCCCCAAACGACTTGATTCTAGAATAAAAACAATCATTTAAAACATTTTTTGAGAAATGTTATCTTAAAATATAACATAACATACTTATTTTATCTAAACAACAAGAAAGATGTCTGAAAATGAGAAAAACATTAAAACAGACTTTTTTCTCTTATAAGATTATGAAGTATTATAAAACTAGTAAAATAATCTGAAATGACAAACTACATTCAAGCCAAAAAACTTGCCATAAAAAAATATTCATCATGTTATTTTTTAGTAAATAAAATCTCTATCACTCTCTCAGTTCTGGAGAGCAGCTTCAGTGACAGACTAAGGTCCTTTCTTCCTGCTGCTGTCAGACTGTACAATAAGAACTGCTGAGCCTGTAAATGTCACTCATCTGTAAATAAGTAAATACTACAACTTGAGAATATCCACAGAACAACGTCACTTTATCTACTTCATATCCTGCCCTTTATATACACTACATAACTCTGCACTACTACATATATACTGTATATTATTTTGAAAGACTGGTATTGATGTCACGAGGGTAAAATTAAATGAGACCCAAAATGCAAAAACTGCAAAATAATGGATTTAATAAAAAATAAAACAAATCCAAAACCAGAAAAACCACAGAGAACAAGAACTGAAACAGACTAGGGAAGACAAGGACACACAGGTGAGACAGATGAGGGCGGGGCAGGTAATCAAACAGGAAGACCAACCAAAGAAGACACAAGGATAACACATTTCAAAATAAAACAGGAAATAAACTTAAACCATTACAATTGAAGCATTTTCAGCAGATACAGCTAGTTAAGAAACAGCTACTACTTATTGTGTATATTTTGCTTGCTCCCTGTGTCTCTTACTACTGTCCTGAACTTACTGTCCTGTCTGTGCGCGGCAACAATTAAATTTCCCCACAGTGGGACGAATACAGGATCTTATATTATCAAAATTTTACTTTTTTCAGTCTAGCAGCAGAAACAAATCCATACAAACCAATAATTCGTAATTCCCTGTAACGTTTGATATTTTGGGTTGAGTTTGAGGTGAGGTGGCACAGGCATCAGTTTTGGAGGGATGCCCCCACCCCCTTACACAACACCCCTCTACCCCCTCCCCCGTTTCGGATAGATAACCCCCCCCTAATCAGGAGCTCTTCCACCAGCCCTGTTAAACCAGTAATGGGTGCTTTTATAGTACTTGCCGAGCTGGTAGTAAAGTGTTCGAACAGACAGTGATTGGTCAGACTGCTGCCGGAAACCATGGATACCAAGGACTTTCCTCAGATACTGGTTTCTTGTGGGTCGGTTGCTAGGATACGGTACCAGATACTGCGTAATGGACACACAACCAATGAGGAAGTGTCTGGAGCGGGAGGTCAGTGGATGAAGCTGAACAATGAGATGAACGGACAGTAGTCTCGCTGCGGTAACGCACACTTGGCCTGTATTTTTCTTCTTCTGACATTATTGAGCATTAAGACATTATCTGTAGCCGCAGTTCCAGAATAATGACACTCACAGAAGCTCGGCCGCCAGTGCAAATGTTTGAGAATGGACTCGTAAAGCGACGCTGTGATGTGTGCCTTTGAGAGTCAGAAAGTGGCTCAGCGAGTGACTCATTATGTGCACGAGGGAATGGAAGTTTGAAAGCACAGGAAGATATAGCCGCCTCAACAATGTGGAGAATAAAAGAAGGTTCAGAAGTGTCAAGGCCGCGAGGAATAGATGCATTTACAATCCCATTGTGTTCAGAACTTACTGGAGGACTGGAGTGGTTGGTAAAGACGAATGTTTGGTGGAATCACTAAAGAGAGAAAGAAGAAACTTACCTGTTTTCCAATGCATATAATCATTTCTGTCAAACCTGCACAAAAACCTCAAAACTTATGCATTTGAGATTTGGAACGCACCAAATCATGGAGCCGCTGGTGGCTTTCTTATAATGCATCATTTTGGCCATTTTTCTTTTGAATGTGCTGCAAAACGGCAACAAATCCTAAGAGTCTCTGAAACAATAGTTTTTTGTTTTACAATTTTTATTTTTATTGCTTTTTTTCTGCCTGAGATGTTGCTGCAGTTCAGTGTTCATGGTTTTACACTGGTCCAGACCAGAGCAGAGAGGATTCATGGTTTTACACTGGTCCAGACCAGAGCAGAGAGGATTCATGGTTTTACACTGGTCCAGACCAGAGCAGAGAGGATTCATGGTTTTACACTGGTCCAGACCAGAGCAGAGAGGATTCATGGTTTTACACTGGTCCAGACCAGAGCAGAGAGGATTCATGGTTTTACACTGGTCCAGACCAGAGAGGATTCATGGTTTTACACTGGTCCAGACCAGAGCAGAGAGGATTCATGGTTTTACACTGGTCCAGACCAGAGCAGAGAGGATTCATGGTTTTACACTGGTCCAGACCAGAGCAGAGAGGATTCATGGTTTTACACTGGTCCAGACCAGAGCAGAGAGGATTCATGGTTTTACACTGGTCCAGACCAGAGCAGAGAGGATTCTATCTATCTATATATTAACATTGAGGATGAGATTATTTACTTTCCCATGTTCTGTTTTCTAATGTGAAATATTGCCTGTAACTCCGTATGCTACCACCAGAGGGAGGCGTTGATTCTTTTGTTTGTCTTCAAATTAGTAATACACCTGCTGTAAACACTGCCTTGTGTTTGTGAATAATGCAACATCACCTGAGAAATGACCAAATGTGTTTTAAGTGCATTATTGTTGCTCTGAGAGTGATGTCACAGCGGGACAAAAGTGCTCCATTATAGGACTGAGACAGAAGGGGCGGAGTCAGATGTTTGAGCTAGTTCTTGATATCAGCATGGACGGATATAAAAACAGCTTCAGGACTTGATTTTTCTATATCCCATAAGAAACTGCAAGTTTTCTACTACAAAGTTTATTGAAACACATATTTTCCGATGCCCTTTTCTCCTTCTTTCCTTCCACAAAACCCAAAAACAGAGAATTTAGATTAAACGGCGTAAACGAGTCGTCTTTCGTCTTTTGAACTCGCGGCCGTAATTGCAGACGACACTTTTGAAGAAACCGCTGTTCTAATTACCAAGGGATAAAAGCAACGCTCGACTTCATGGCTCAAAAACATGACTCATGTTCTTTGAAGGAGTCATTTCTCTGCAGACCTATTTTAACTTTAAATCAGTGTATGTTTTTATATAGAATAGTCCTTGCACATTTTTTGGAATTATTTGACTGTTGAATTTACAGTGCATTCAATTTACAGTAGGTCTGGTTAAAATTACGGTTTGTTTGTCTCAGTGGAAAACATTACCTTCTTCTTGGTGTAATTTGAGATGTTTTGATTTATTGAGTTAACCGAGTATAGTTTGACCAGGACACCATGCACTCATTTAAGGTAGTAATGTGTAGGATTTTCATGTCCAGTCATCGTTAAAGCGCCCTAATCTGCATTTTGAGTCCTCCTCCTTTCACGCCTTGTGATAATGGGCCTCGTTTATGAAACTTGCGTACGGCCAAATCATGAGGCGTACGCAAAAAATGTACACTTTTCAGCATTCATCAATCTGGACGTGGGCGTACGTACACACAAAATATATGCCAAGGCAGTAGGTGGTGTAAATGTGTACGCTTATGTCAAGAAGATTCCGCAGACGCTTCTAAAGTTCAAGACAGAGGAGTGGGTCACTATCGGGAAAAACGCGCATACATAAATTAGCGTGCATTTCTTTTTAAACAAAATTATAAAAAACAACTCAATGTAAACTCAGTGCGTGTCAATAACAGGGCTCTTGAGGCTTCCAACTTGTCTTGCTGACCGGCTTCCTGCTGAGCTGTCGTAAAAACAGGGC